GGAGGGGCTGGCGGGGAGCTCGGTCAGGACAAGGCGGGCTCCCGCCCGCCTCTGATCACGCACCCCGCTGTGCCCGCTGCACTCAGCGACCCGCAGAGCAGCCCGACATTTACAGATCGCCAGGCGAGTCTGTAACGAAGCCGCTCCCTCTCCGTCTGTCCTCGGGCCAACGGCGGCAGAAGGGATACTAATTAGAGGGTGAATTATTAGCTTCCCATGGTGCACTGCGGGCACGTTAAAAACGAGGGGGCTCTGCCGCTTACCTTTTAGATGGTGAGTCTTAGTTTAATATATTCGTGTTTCTAGGTGAGAGCAGGGGACAGTTTTTATGATTATAATTGTTGCATAATTACTGGCCTAAGGTTGCCTATTGTTAAATACAAATCCTGAGGTGCTAATGTTTTATTGAACGGTACAAGGAGATAAAATTGTAATATCTTTTCCTGAGCAATCGGAGCTGCTCATTTGCAGCCAAGTGACAACCCTTAGTCGTCTGAGGGACGAGGCAGATGGGTTCTGCCTGGGCTGGAAGTCAAATGGGAAATATTTGCTTTGGGGGAGGAAAAGGGAGCTGAGCGGCTCCGGGACGCACCCTGGACGCACAGTCTCGGCGTGTGTGCGTGTCACGGGGCGGGGTGAGGCCTGGCTAACGATGCACACGCACTCCCCGTGAAGGCTGAGTCAGCCAGCCGTTCTCAGGCAGCTGAATGCCACAAACGGCCTTTCCCATGAAGGACCATTCCTGCCAGACACTGAAGGGACGCTCAAGTAGAGACGGGTGTGCGGCCACCGTAGTGGACCAGTGGGGTCCAACATCCCTCCCTCTGTGGCATTAGTGGGGTCCAACATCCCTCCCTCCGCGGCATTGGTTTTAAATACAGATCACTTCGCGAATCTGCGTGTCATCGCTGTGCAGGGCCCATGCTAATCGTCTCCGTATCGTTCCGATTTTAGTGTATGTGCAGCCAGAGCAAATGCCCTGTCAACTCGTAAACACTCAGGACATCGAGGCACTAGGAAGTTACCTGGCGCCACCAGGTGACACGCCTTTAATATTCCTCAAATCCACCCCTCCCTCCTCGCCACACCAACTCTCTACCCCACGCGGCCACCTCCCTGCCTCCTACCTGTGTCTCCCACCTGTCACTTATCTCTCTCAGTTTGCTGAGTTTCCTGCTACCAGCCAAGAGATGACTTGCCAGGAGCCGACCACGTGAAGGAAAAGGAAAAACGCTGGAGTCAAACCCGCTGCCTCACCAGGACAGGAAGTCATAAGGAAGCGTGGGAAATGTCCTTCGATTTGAGCAAAAAGTGTCTGGCCAGTTTGCTCTGGCCCCTCCGGTGTCCCATCCCTTGGAAGGATGACATGAAACAGGCCACTGTTTCTGCGGCTCACCCAGGTGTGTCTAGCCAGGGAAATGGGGCGGAGATCGGGCCGAGGAAACTCGAGCTTCAGAAGTTAGAGCAGCAGCTTCTTCCACACAAGAGGCGTTTCCCCCCGTGCCGGGCCGGGCCCAGCAGAGGCTCCTAGCTCTGGTCCAAACCTTTCATAGCAGGTATAAAATAAAAACCAATCTCTCTCTTCGTAGTTTTTGTGGTTCTTCCAGGGCAGAGCTCAGTGCTCTGGAAAGAGCCCGGGCTGGGACTCGGCCGTTCTGATTTCGGCTCAGCTGCCACTCTGCAGGGCTGAGACGAGCCTCTCCAGCGCTCCCCGTGGAACAGAAAGAACCTCACCTTTCTGCCCGCCCCACACAGGCGTGCGAGGCCCGAACACACTTCAGGGAGCACGGAGTCTCGGAGTCAGAAGGAGCTCGTCTGGCCCCATCTCCTTCGGAACACAGGGATCTTCCGAGTCATTCCTGACAGGTGTTTATCCTCCCTCGCATGAAGGTGAAGGCTCCAGGGAGCTCAGCAACGCCTCTGTTTGCTGGATGGCTCTGATTTGCTGCCTCGTGGGAGCCGAGACCTGCCCAGCCCTGGTCCTCAGCCACCCAGGCCACCCAGGCTGCGTCCCATCACACGGTTGGCCCTGCAGGAGCTCGAAGGTAGTGATTGGCTTGCCCTTTGTCGATCCTTCTCCAGGACTAGATTCTTCAGCTGCTCTGCATGTTTCAAATCCTTCATCGTGTTCCTCCCCAGAGCTCTCCCCTTGGCTACCTCACCCACCCTGCACTGCGAGAGAACGCGGCCCCATACGCAGCCTGGCCAGTCTGGAACACGATGGCCTCCCTCAGTCTGATCGCTATACTCCTATTAATGCAGCCTATGCCCATGGAAGCTTTTTAGCAGGCGTATCACACGGTTGGCTCATGTTAAGCCTGCGCTCAGCTAAACCCCCCAGATCCTTTTCACATAAACGGTTTTCATTTGGAAAATGAAAGGTCTCACCCTTCCGGTGTAAGCATAATTGATTCTTTTGAAATTAAATGTATAATTTTCATATTTCATATTCTTTCTGCTCTATTTTAATACGTTTGCTTGGATAACTCTTTCTAAAGAATGATAAATCTTCAGAAACCCTGATTCTGAAACCCCCTGCTTGGTTTGGAAAGCTCTGCCTTATAGCTTCGTCTCATCTGTGGATTTGCTAAGCAAACCTTCACTGTCAGCGTCAACAGCGCTGATCCGCGGGGACCTGTTGTGTCAGAGTGAAGGAAGTTGTCAAGACTAAAAAATAAGATTAATGAAGTTAGGACATTGAGGGAAAAGTGTACAGGTCACCAAAACCTTGAGTGAAAAGATGCACATGAAGGAGGAGGAAACATCCACTCTTTGCATTTGCGCACCCATCATCGGGGGCCCCAGACCCCAAGGGCGCAGGTGGACTTGACCAAGTACAGTTAGGATTATGTAAATCTAACCCGCTCTTTCTTCCTTCGCTGACTTCCCCTGGAACCCAGTCCCCGGCTGCCGACAAACTGCATGCAGGTGACCGAGAGAATTAGGGTGACGCGGCACATGGTCAGGTTCACGGGTCTTGGTGGACACAAGTCCCAGTCACGAGGAGAAACATGCAGATTATTCGTAAAAGGTTTGAAACCAGCCCACACCCTGAGGAGCCTCCAGACCTGCTGCTCCCCCGTGGGTTCAGCTGTGACCTGTGCCATAAGTCAAGTGGTCGCACATCCACACCCCTCGCCCATCAGCACAGTGGCCTGGAGGACCTTGGCCCAGACGGTGGGGCTCCCTCTGCCGTGAACGGCTGGACACATTGCGTGCTTAGCTATCCCTGTCTGCCACGCTGGTTCAGGAGTATAGGGACCCTTCAGAGGAAAGAGCATGAGAAACCCCAGTGTGTTCATTTCCTGAAGCTGCTGTAACAAATTACATGAACTTGGTGCCTTCAACAAAAGCAATTTATTCTCTCACAGTTCTAGAGGCCAGACGTCCGAAATCAGTTTCACCGGGCCAAAACTGAAGTAGTGGCAGGCCAGCACTTCCTCCAGACTGTTCCTTGCCTCCTCCGGCTTCCAGTGGCTGTCAGGCTTCCTCGGCTGTGGCTACATCACTCCGAGCTCTGCCTCCATGGTCACACTGCCTCCTCGTCTGTCTGTCAAATCTCCCTCTCCTTTTATCTACTACGCTACTTGAGATTGGACTTAGGGTCCACCTAGAGAATCCAGGACAATCACCCCGACACCAAGACCCTTAATTTAATCACATCTGCAAAGACCCTTTTTTTCCTCAGAGGATAATATTTACAGTTTCAAGGACTGAATGCCGATATCTTTGGGTGGCCATTTTTCAGCCTGCTATACCCAGAGTTAATAAAAAAATGTTGACCAGGACAAAATTATCAATGGAACTCCTTATGGGCTAGGATCAAATATCCTGGGATAATAACTCCTTAGTCAGCAACCTGGGAAATATTATACATCCAGGTTTCAACAGCTGGCTGGGAAACCACCACGGGAATGTATAACAAGTATAAAATCATTCTAGGAGGACGTGGTTCCATAGTGTAGCGGTCAGCACGTCTGCTTTACACGCAGAAGGTCCTGGGTTCGCACCCCATTGGAGCCACGGTCCATGGTCTACGGTCATGTCACCCTGAACAAGCCCGATCCCATCCAAAAACTTATACGCAAACGTTCACAGAAACATTATTTTTAATAGCCGAAGATAAAAACGACCCGAATGATCATTCACTCATAAATTAATAATAAAATGCAGTCTATTCATACGATGGGAAATGATGACAATAAAAAGGGAGGGGATATTAATACGTGCTACGATGTGGATAAATTTTGAAAACAAGATGCTAAGCGAAAGGCGGAAAAACTCACATATTGTATGACTCCGTTTACATGAAATATCCACTAGAATAGGCAAATCCATAGAGATAGAGAATTGGGAGTTGCCTAGGGCTGCGCAAGTAGGTGAAAAACGGGGAGCACCTGCTAACGAGTGTGAGGTTTCCGTCCGGGTGACGAGAATGTGCCAGAACGAAGATGATGGCACTGCTCCACGAGCACCCCGAAAACCACCGCACCGTATACTGTAGATGGGCGATTAGATGGTACATGAGCTATATCTCCGTGAAGCCATTATTGTTTAAAAATCATTTATTAAGTACTATAATTTAGAAAATCGATTACTTTATAGGTGGAGGAGCCACCGAAGTAGCCTGTCACCTGGTGGGAGGTGGCGCACGCGCACGTACAAGGTCAAAGGCCCTGAGGACCCGTCCCCCTCGTCTCCTGTAGCTCATCACACACGCCCTCGTCGGTCCTGCTCCGCTGCCGCGCCTCGTCCGAACCCGTCACTCCAGCCCGGTCCCTTCCGGTGGCCTCCCGCTTACCCTCTGCCGTGCCACCCTCCTAGTCCGTCTCCACTTCAACCAGAGCAGGCTTTGCAAAATGCAAACAGTGCCATGTCGAAGCTTTTCAGTGGCTTCCTGTCGCCCCAAAGGAAAAGCACACGGTCCTCCCCACGGCCCACCAGACCCGCTCCTGCGGTCCCGTCTCCCCCCTGCTCCCTCGCCCCGACCACGCTTCCGCCAGGCTGCCCTTGCGTTCAGTTTCCCGAATACCACGAGCCCGTCCCTCCCCAAGGCCTTGGCCGCACTGTTCTCGTACTTGACATGCTCATGCTACCTCTACTCCGGACGCCTACTTATCCTTTATTCTCGGTCGAAAAAGAAACACGTCTTGGGGAAGTCATTCTCGGCGCCTTACAACCCGAAAGTGACCAGGTCATCCCACCACATTCTTATAACGCCTGCAGGTCCCCTTCCGGGCACCGATCTCATCCGCACCTGAATCGTCGCCTCCCTGAGGTACCATAAACCCCAGGAGAATAGGGTACGTCCATGTTGCTCACCTTTTTTATCTACAAAACCTGATGTGATGCCCATAATAGAGAAAGCGAGAGGAAATATTTGCTGAATAAGGGAATGAGTCAACAGGTGAATTGTACGACAGGTACGAAGGGAGTGGGGCATGCGGGAAATGCTGCCGTCACATCACCGAGGATTCTACCTGTTGGGGCGGATGACCAGGAGCTGCCTGGGAGAGGGAGGACTCAGGAAACAAGCTTAGACTCAGAGCAGTGGGTGGACCCTTCCGAGTCGTCACGTCCACTTGCTTATCTTCTTGAGCTGGATACCGCAAGTCGGTTTGGAGACTTATATCACCCACCCGCCTCTCTCATGGCTTCAAAAAAAAAAAAGATCTGTGAGATAAAACTCCACACTTCTCGGCAAGGCATAAAATATGAAATAATCTGGCCACGGCAGCCAAAGGTCAGCACGCAAGACAAATATCACGTAGGAGCAAAATCACCCTTGAAAATCACGAAGTCATAGAGCATGTTTCAACCCCGTTTCCTCCCGTTTCTGAAAGGATCGCTCTTCTTTATTTAGATAGCGGATTAAATGGTTGGCTTGTGTTTAGGATCCACGCTGAATGACGTACACACACGCACGCGTGCACGCACGCACACACACACGCACATGCACATACAGCTGCACTCGAATCAC